CTAGACAATTGCTTGCAATGCAACTGTATGTTCTGGGTTTCATCTGGAAATTGAGTACACAACCAACATACAAGAGTAGCTTGTTTGACGAGGAAAATGTGTTTTTCAAGAGATTGTTTTGGATCTTCAAGCCATGCATTGATAGTTTTGCCTCCTGCAAACTAATTGTTCAAGTGAATGGAACATTTTTAAATGGAAAATACAAAGGGACTTTATTAGTGGCCATTGCGCAAGACGGCCGCAACAACATAATTCACATTGTCTTTGTTATAGTTGAAGGTGAAACCACCGATGCATGGTTCTTTTTTTTGAAAAACTTAAGGAGTCACGTAACCCCGTAAGAGGGGTTGTGCCTCATTTCAGATCGTCACGAGGCCATAAGAAGTTCATACTCCAGAAATAGAAGTGGTTAGACAGAAAATAATTTTGTCCATGTCTATTGCATTAGACACATTACACAAAACTTCATGCGATGATTCAAAAATGCTGCACTGAAGAAAGATGTTGTCAATATGGGTAATTTTAATTTTTTACGTACTCTATATTATCATTAATATTTTATACAATTACTTAACTAGTTATATTAATTTAATTTGTAATCTTGTTTCCAGCATATGAGATGATTGAACCGAGATTCTTTTACTATTACAACATAGTAAAAGATAATAATCTTGAAGCTGCACAATAGTTGGACAACATCTAATGGAAAAAATGGACACTGGCATGGGACAACAGACGACGCTAGGGACACATGATAACAAACCTAGCGGAGTCAATCAATTCGGTCTTGAAAAAAATCAGTACCCTACCAATTTGTTCTATGGTCATGGCAACATACACTCGTTGCAATAAGTTCTTTATTGAAAGAAGCAGGGAAGTAGATGCAATGATGCAACTAAAGCAATTCAAGATGCACAGTCAAAGGTGAACGCTCATAGAGTCATCACCTTTGACAGAACAAACACTAGATTTTTAGTCGAAGAAACGCAATATCCAACAGAAATTCGACCTATAGGAAGATTTACAGTACAGTTAGATGAAATATGGTGTGATTGTGACAAGTTTCAAAAAGTTCACATTTCATGCTCGCATGTACTTGCTTTATACATACACACCACAACTTTGACATCTACATATCTCCTGTGTATACCTTACAACAAGTTTCTAAGGTATACGAAGGTCAATTTGGAGAACTGGAACACGAAGACTATTGGCCAACTTACACAGCCCAACTTTGTGTCCAAATCCAAAACTGAAAAGAACTTCAAAGGGTCGACCCAAGTCCAATAGGATAACAACAAAGATGGACATTAAAGAACAACAAAGCCGGCCAAAAATTATTCTTATTGTCATACCCCTGGTCACACAAGGAGGACATATACAAACATCGCTCAAGCTTCTAGTTTCTGCCATTTATTTATGTTGTTGTTATTATTTTAAAATTTTTTTAATGTCATTTTAAATTTTATGAATATCATTGCAACTTTTAAATTTTTAGTATTTGTAATTTATATTAAATATATAATTATATATATAATATATCTACATAATATTATTTAATTATGTTTATTAATATTAATAACATATTTTTTAAATAAATAATGATGTATAAATTTTAATAAAGATTAATATCTCAAAATAAATAAATAAACTAGTTATTATTTAATACTTTTACTTATTTATAAATAAACTAGTTATTATTTTAATTTTAATTTTTTTATAAATATAATATTAAATAACTAAAAGTATAATTTCAGAATATAATATCAATATCATTTTCAAAAAATTAAAATTATATTAAATAATATAATAAAAAAATATTATTTATTATCTTAAATATGTCAAATAAATTTTAATAAACATTTAAAATTAATATTATTATTATTTAGATTCATTTTTAAATAATATAAAAATATAAACATAATTCAAATAATAAAACTTATTTTATTATATATAACTAATAAAATATTTATAAATATTTAATTTAATAAAATATAAATATATAAATATAATTTAAATAATATTTATTTTATTATATTAAAACATAAAATAAAATTTTAAAGAAAAAAGTAACTCAGAATTTGGTTCGCAGGAAATCGAATTCTGGATGCCAAAATCTAGCTCAAAAATTAGGTCTAGATTAGTAAATAAAATGGCCAATGTTCTATTTGAGTATTTTTTATTTTTTTTTATAATATTGCTGTAAAGAACTCCATTCTTTTGTTGCTACTCTTTCTATTCTATTCTTTGCTTTAATTTGATTATTCTTAAAAAATGTAAAGATAATCTAACATTTAATTCCAGATTGCTCATTTATATTTATTTATTTACCAACTGAAACTTTCATCGTAAACAATGCGATTACCCATAATTTTATTTTTTTTATATTTTATTACAAATTTTTGCCTAAGATAATTTTATACAGTGATGAACATACAAATTTTGTCAATATTTGCCTAAGTTATTATTTATAACTTAAATCAAGTCAATTTTACTTAAGTTATAATTATTTGACTTAAACAAAAATATAATATATTGTAAAAATTTTCTTAACCCAATATTTGTTTAAGCAAGATTTTATCCGTTTAAGTGAATATTAGAATATCTTGTATTACTTAAATAAATTTCTAATCGCTTAAGTGATATTTATCAAGTGAGCCATTTATTTATTTTGTAACTATCGCTCAAGTAAGGAAAATATGAATTAAACAAAATTTTTAAGAATCATCTGAAACAGATACAACAAGTGTACAGGAATATTATGGGTAAAATTTAAAATAACATTTAATAATCTATTAATACAAAAATTGATTTTATGATAAATTGAGACTATAAAAATAGTATAAAAGTTTTAATTTTAAAAATAATAAAATTAATACTTAGAATTTGCAAATAACTTTAAAGATCTAAAATAATATTTAATATTTTATTTATTTAAAAGTTATTTTTTATTATAAATTAAAGTTGTATTAATACATGTGAATGAAAACTTTCTTAAATTTGTCACGAGAATACGTACAAGATTTGATTTTAAAAAAATAAATTATAATTATAAAAAATTATATAAAAATATAACATAATAAGTTTAAAAAGTTTAAAAAGTAATTTTATAAATTTTTATAAAAAATTAAATCATAAATTTATTAAAACTAATATTATTAAGTTATAAATTAAATATATGAATTGTTTATATTTTAAAAATACATCTAATAAATTAAAACAATTTATTTACTTATGCACCATTTATTTGTAAATTCATGTTAGCTCGTGTTTTTGAAGAATGTTATATATCTAAAAATATGTGAGGTTTTTAAGGGAAAAATAAGTCAGGTATGAAAATCGAAGTCATAATTAAAGGAAGAATTGATCAAGTACTAAAATCGAAGTAATACATATTTTTCTTGGAGTTAACAATTGTTTTTATCATTTTATTCTTCCACATGCGGTGCCGTTTTGAACAATCCATTGAAATAGTCCATATTTTGTCTCTTATTCGGCTCCTCGTTGTTATACTCTCAATTTGTTCTATTAATATTACTACTTTACGTCGTATCACGGTAATAAAAATTCTTCACTATCGTAATTATAAAGTGTGTGTGAAGACATATTTATATTTCTAGAACCACCTGAAATGAATATAACGTATTTTACTTATTATATAAATAATTTTAGACAGTTTGAATTAAAATTAATTTTATCTTTAAATTTAAGTTTCCATAAATATAACAAAATAATTTTTTATATTGAGTTAAAAAATTTATATTATCATAGTTAATCTTCTTTAAATTTTACTAGTAGGAAATTGTTCTAAATTAATTTCAAATTTAAATTTAAATAAATGCAATTATATTAAATACTTAAAAGAAGAGTTTTAACTTTTATAGTCCTATTTTATTCGAATAGAAGTGACTTCTATAAATGATACATGTAGGTTTAGATATGATATATATATATAATATCTAAGCTTTTTTATAAATAAAAAAATTCAATTACATATTGTGGAAGTGAAAATTCACTTAGAAACATTTATGTTGTGTTTGAGTAAAATATTCTAAATTATTAATTACATGTATTTAGATAATAATAAAAATATTAATAAAATATTTTAAAATTTATTTAGATAAATTTTATATTAAATAAAATTTGTAAATAACATGTCTTGAAAAAGAATTTTAAAACTATCATTCTTAACTTTTACTTAAATCATCCTTTATTATTAATTTTATATTTTTTTAAAATTCTAAAATTCTCCGTTCAAACTAGAAACATTTTAAAATTACTTTACAAATAAATATTTTGAAAATTTTGATGTAAATTCAAACACACATAAAATTATATAAGTAATCTTTTATCATGTTCAGATTTTATATGTACATTTAGATTTGTCAACAAAATTTTTATTAAAAACATATAATATTTATTATGTTTTTAATATAACATTTACTTTTTATTTTTAAAATTTACTACTTTTGATTATTTATATATTGTCAACCCTAAAGATTGTGGTTTTTTTCTCTATTATTAAAAGTGAAAGAATTAAGACGTCTTTTATAGCAAATAAGAATAAACCAGATTGATTACTGGGGACATGAAATATCACAACGTAACCTTTAATACACGAACTTGAGCATCTAGATTTTGCTGTTTTTATTTTAATATTTAACCCCCTTTTCGTTGAAGTTTCCTTATTTTCTTCTCAGACTTTTAGTTATCGTCGAACGTATAAACCACTCAATTACATATACCCACCCACACTTATAATACGCCCTCTCTTCCCTCTTTCTCACCCACAACCTGCTCCAGTTTATTCAACTCGATCAAAAAGCTTGTTTTTGTTGGAAAGCGAAAGGAGAGAAACAACAACAAAATAACAAGCCATTTGGCATTAGATCTCCTTCCTTGTTCTTAATTGTGAGCAAGACCCAATTCTCAAATTGCAAAAAAGTACCCTTTTTCAGGATCAAGGAAGAGAAGTGAGTATATTAAGCAAAAGGGTTAACATGGTTGGGAAGTTGATGGTGATGAGGTTTGTGTTGGCCATATCTGTCTTAAGCTCTCTCCTTCTGACATCCTCGGCACAGACATGCAAGGGACAAACCTTCACTAATAACAAGGTTTACACTTCATGTCGTGATCTTCCCCACTTAACCTCGTACCTCCACTGGACCTATAACCAGAACACAGGAAGTTTGGACATAGCATTCAGACACTCTGGAATTTCATCGACAAACAGGTGGGTTGCATGGGCTATCAACCCCACCAACAACCTTAATTCAGCTATGGTTGGAGCACAGGCTCTGGTGGCTATACCAAAATCAGGTGGCGCCCCTAGGGCATATACTTCTTCTATCTCTGGCTATTCAACCCAGTTGGCTGAGGGAAACATCTCTTATCCTCACTCTGGCTTGACGGCTACCCATCAGGGTAATGAGGTAACCATTTATGCTACCCTCACTCTTCCCAATGGTACCACCAACTTGGTCCACCTTTGGCAAGATGGTCCTATCAGTGGCTCTACCCCTGGAATCCATGACCAGAATCCTGCTAACCTCGGAGCCAAGGAAAGCTTGAATCTTACTGGAACAGTGTAATATGAATCACATATTTCAAATATCGTGTATTAGGTGTAGTTTAAACAAAATTTTCAATAAATATATACTAATGTGATCGTTAATCACGTACTCCATATTACTCGTTTCGCATTTTTCAAACTTCTATTAAGAAAAAGTCAATAACACAAGAAAAATGTGGATTCATCGCCGTACAACGCAATTAATTTGTTGTAGTTTGAGGAGATTGTGATTTTTATGTCTTTTTATTTGTGTTTTGACTTTTATATTCCCTTTTATATAAGTGTCTATAATTTTATATTATTAAAGTCTTTCTTCTTTAGATATAAATATATTTGTGATTTAAATTAATAACACCAATAATTGTTTAAAACTAAGAATAATTTATTTTTTATTAATGAAAATTAAAAGATTTAGAGCATGCTTATTTTTTATTTTTAAATATAGTTTTAATTTTTAAAAATATAAAATTTTGTTGTTAGTTTAAATTTTTAAAACATATTTTAAAAAATTATTTTCAGTTTTTAAAATTAAAAATCAGAATAACTTATAAGGTGTTTTGTTTTAAAACTAAAAAAAAAAAAACAATGTTAGTGTCAAGGTTTTTAAAACGAAACGCTGAAAGAAGTACAACACGTATGAACTATCTCATGGCACACATGTGTTTAATGAGCATCCAAACTTATTTTTTTTATCTTACATTTCATTTTTACTTTTGTTGATTTGGATTTAAATTTTTACTCACTAATATATACTAACACATTTAAGAAAAAGTATTCTTCTTCTCTTCTTGCATCTTTTCTCGTTTTTTATATTTTCTAGTAAATTTTGTGTTTGAAGTGCTTAAAAATAATGGAATAAAAGTTATGTTGTGATAAATGTTTATATGATAATTTATTTCCTTTAACATATTGCCAATTTAAATCTCACAAAAAAGTAGTGCTGTGAATTGGGCGAAAGGGATCGATGAGGAGAATATGAAAACTTTTTATTTTCTTCTTTTGTATTTCATACAATGAATATGCAATTTAAAAAAAAGCATAAAAAATATTAAAAATATCAAAATATTCACAATTTCAATTTTAAAGTAAAAATACACATGAATGAAAATAGAATTATTTTTTATTTACTAATTTTATTTTACTATTTTTATTGATATTTTTATGTAATGATTTTTTAAATAAAATAATTTTTTAATATATTTTATATTATTTTAAATTTATTATTTTTTTAAAAGGGCTTTTATTGCTACAATAGACATTCAAAATGCATCAACACAGATAAGATACAAATACAAAATCCTAACAGTAGAAGGAAGCTAACTATAAGCATGAATAAAGATGGTAGTAAAAAGAGAAGAATAACATTTGCATAAATAAAACACAATTTTTTGAACATATAATATGGCGTAGTTAGTTTTTTGCTAAGTTACTTTTCACATATATCATAATATTCTATTACTATCTATTAATAATGTTAAATTTATAGATTAAAATGTTAGATAAAGTTAAATATCAAAGATCAATATAAGGCTTTTAAAACTTTAAAAGACTAAAATACTCAATGATTACAGTTAAAAAATAAAACAAAAATTAAATCGTAAAATATCTATACGCAAAACATGGTTATAATAGAATTAAGATGCTGATCAAGAAATCATTTTCTCATTGTCAGTACGGAGTTTGACATGTACTGAATTTAGAAAAGGTGATCGAAAGGAGGGGAGAGGGGGTGTGTTCAGTTTAAAACATCTTTAAACTGAGGGAAAATTTAGAGTATTCTATAAGAAGAGATGGTGGTGATTGCGTGGTTTATGCTTGGTAAAATTGGGCCTCTTTTTATTTTGGTCCATAAACTTGGGTTACCTTTTTATGTAAATTATAAGAAGTTATTGGACCAAGTTGGGCTCGTCCCGTGTAGTCCAAGAATTACATGCAACTACCGAACATTTACAAATTGGACCCACGTAATTAAATTAGGAATTGAACTCGTGTTATTTCTCTTTAATAAAATACCATCCAACCCCTTCCCTAACCAAGAAAGAAAAATAAAATAAGTGAGCTTGTCTGAATTATAATTATGCATAATAAATAATTATCTATTTGCGAAAAAAAGGAATTATAATTATCTATATAATATTTTTGGCATTTTCCCATCACAAAGGTGTTTTTTTATGGATAGTGTTATCTGGTGAGAAGTTTATGCAATAAAATAAGAATATTATAACTATATTGATTGATAATATATAAAGAAATTATTAACAGTACCCTAAAATTAAATTCATAAAATAATAATTCACTTATGAATAATTTTCTCCCTTTCTGCAAGTGATTTTGGAAAAGTAACTAGTTTGTGGAATCTACTTCTAAAAGTGGCACACATTATTTATTTGAATTAAAAATTAAACATAATAATTGTAATTTTGTACACAAGGCTGCATGGGAGTTATTGTACAAGGGCCAGTGTCCCACAGTCCTTGTTTTGTTCCTCACAGGATTTTGTCCTATATAAAACCTTCACATCGATATGAGATCAACCGATAGATATGAGTTTGCCATATAATTTATTATGCACGGTGGATGGTAGGAGATTCTTTTTTCTTTTTCTTCTTCTGCTAATAGATTCCCAATGGAAAACAAAGGAGCTCCTAAAATTTGAGCTGAATTAATTTCTGTTTGCATGCAGATCATCAAACCTCTTTCTTTATTCTTTGTCAGCGTAGGGGATTTTTTTTATTTTAACAAGTCAACCTTCTTCAAAGCATGAAGGTATAAGTATAATACGACCGAGTCGAAAGTCTACAAGTCTCAACCACGTTTTCCTTTTCCTATTTGGTTAAGTGTTTTGCAAGGGTGAGAGAACTGGTAAATAATAAACATCAAATATAGTTTTGTGGCAAGAACAGTAAGAGGCTTTTCTTGAGAATGCTTCAAGTTATAAGGGCATAACATAATAATGGATTGATAGAGATGTCACACGAACCTTGGTCCAAGACAATGCCCATCAACGAAAGATCTTGTTTGAAATTTGAGAGGGTCAAGGTTAGAGTCTGAGACTTTTAGTTCACCTACCATTATACGCACTTAATGACATTATTACTTCGCTTAAGCAATACTTTTTAATGCAATAAAATATTGTAAAGAAACGTTAATGGACAATTACCTTGGACACTTGTGACTTCACTGAGATATCTGCCTGTCTTCCATCTACATCAACTCCTCCAAACTTACCACTCTTAACTTCTAATCAAGCTTCAAGCAATAAAATCCATCCATTTTTTTGTTTTAATTTCTTACGCTGAATATTTTTCGATAGGTCATAACATGTTAATCTTCTAAGCAACACGCCACTCAACGAGAGAAAATGGGTGGGCCTGGGGTGAAGAAAAATGTGGTAATATAAAATAAAAGTCTTTATATATCAACCATGCGGTGACGAACTGACGATTCAAGGCTTAATATTCAAATGCCACTATTTTGGAGCTTTGCCTTGCCACCTTCCGCATCAAGCATACTTAGGTATGGGCCTTCCTTTGGGAATTTCAAACCTTTTCATATATAAAAACAAATAAAAGAAAAAGGGTCTCTTTTTATTTGTTAAAAAACTTCAAAAAGGGTTTAGGGAATGACAGATACAATAAATATGTTTTCACATCAATAATTCTTTTTTGGTTTAATAATAAAATGCTGCATTGAATAAACTAAGTTGCAGTTTCTTCTTTCAAATCATACGATGAACACTTTTACTCCTCTTTATGTTGTTGGGTCAAATCTGAATACGTCGGTGAATCTAGAATACATCCAACTCAACCACGGAAAGTATAAATTAAATCCGAGGAAATTGCTAAAGTCTTACATGCGATGCAGTTCTCAATAGCACCTTAATTTCATAAATCCGCTACCTTCCCATGAACAAAACTGGCACTCAGCATTAGTTGCATGTAAACTCCCTTAATTTTTTTTTCACATTTTATTACAAATTGAATTAATCGTATTCATTAATTAAAAAAATTATACAATGCATTTTTATTATTTAATATATTTAACGTAAATATCACTAAGCAGAGAATGTTCTTATGTGGATTATTTAATAACATACACATGAATTTTATCTAACAAATTTTTGTATTAAAAAACAAGTTATTGGCATTTCTTTCAGTGTTAATCAATATAAAGAAAAATGTACACAACATTACACCATTTTTATGTGCCAAAAGAAAAAAAATAAAAAGATTACACCATTTTACCCCCCTCAAAGCGACAAAGCCTGCTGGACTACAAGTTTAACGCTTAATATTCGCTTGAATTCAAACCACAAATGAAACGGTGAGTTGAAATGGATCATAAGACTTTTTCTTCTTATATTTTTCCTTAACTGTGTTATCAGCATTCTCGGCTTTCAAATTTTGATAGTCTTACCCTTACGTTCTCCATGAAGTCACAACATCTGAAAAAGTGCAAGTTCATTAATTAAGGGACGAATCAGGTATTAAAACCGAAGTCATGCATATTTTTCTCTGGAGTTCACTATCGTTTTATCATTTTAATCTTCAACATTCATAAGGAAAGTTGAATCGGTCCCTTTGAACTAAATATATACTCTCTTTTAAATGTACTTTTTAATATATTTGTTATAATTATTTTAAATATAAACATTATTTTATAAATTGTTTTATTTAAAAATAAAAAATGTGTTAAGAAAATATTTTATTAACATTTCTCATCATATTTAATCATTGATTATATTTGTCATTATTAGACGATAAACTTAATTAGCATATTGTAAAAAGTAATTGTACACTCAATTTCGAATTTGCAGAAATTGACACAACAACTTGGTTAACATATTGCTAATTTAACCTATCATACTCTGAATTTTGGATTTGTTGCGACCAAGAATCAGCCATATTTATTAATTTTTTAGTTCAGTTATGTTATGCTTTTCAAATTTATGATCATCCTCTTTATCGTGGCAAAAATTTTGGTAATTTCTTTGGTACGTAGTCACGATGTTTGATATTT